GCTTAAGTGCAGGCTTGATGAGTATCAATGAACTGAGACTAAATCTCAACAAAATGGAGGTATTAAATGGAGGATTTTCCATCTTTGCCCCTGAAGTGACTCACTGACTGACTGATAGACTGATAAACTCTTCCTCTGACCATGGGTCAGCCAATTGATGCAACTGTTGAGGGGTCCTTTATTACATCATGAGTCTCGTCTGTCGGAGAAGTTTTTTTGATCTACAGCCCCCTGGGGGCCCTGCCGTGAGAGGGCGGGCCGGCGGCTGTTCCCATTGTATGAGATAATCAGGACCCTCCTACTGTCGTGGGAGGACAGTAGAGATACCAATAGTACATCAATGAACAAATGGCTGTGTTACATCTTTTGTGAAGTCCCCTGCTTGAGCTCCATGCCTCCATCGCTGTATCTTGGAGATGTACACGACAGCGGATCTTCTTGCACTGCGAGATTCCCCCCTCTCGCAGATGTGGCCCTCCTCACTACCGAGGGCCCACCTCAAGGACGGGTTTTGGGACCCAGAGAGGTGGCATGTGCAAACTAGGGGATTGAGGGGTTTTCTATTGAAATTTTTAGTCAAATTTTTAAGGGGTCCCAGGGAGGGGGAGGATCAGATTGGAATTCGGGTTGTGGGTATGGGGGATAACCCACAAGGGGGAGGGTCGGGTCTGGCAGTGAAGCGCGGTGTGGGGGGTGGGGGACCCGGGGTCGAGGGGGGGGTTAGAGCTTGTCCGGATGGTTTTTTGAACATCAGTACTGTAGGTGGGAGGGGTAGATATGGCGGGAGCAGGGGGCCATATCATGTTAGGGGAGTGCGCACTCGCTGTCTACGAGCGGTGGCGTGCTCCGGCCCCCAAGGCTCTACTCGCTCCTCAGGTTGCATAGACCCTCGGGACCCAGGCCTTCAGCTGATGCTGTGCAATGCCAGGTCCATAGTAAATAAAGCCCCCCTCATCTGTGATCTTGTTCAGGAGGGAGGTGCGGACCTGGCAGGTATTACAGAGACCTGGTTGGGCCAGGAGGTGGGGGGGTTCCCCTCGTTGAAATGTGCCCGCCAGGTTTTCAAGCATTCCATCAGCCAAAGTCACAGGGGAGGGGCGGGGGGGTAGCGGTTATCATTAAAGAAGGTCTGAGACCGAGGGAGGCCACTGTTCCTCAGACGGCCGGCTGTGAATCCCTTTTTGTGAAATGGGATCATGGGGTTCAGATGGGTTTGCTGATCACGTACCTGGCTCCCTGCCACGTGGCAACAGCCCTGCCCGAGCTACTCAACATCATCGCCGGGGTGGTGGTTGATACCCCTAGGCTTATGGTCATGGGGGATTTCAACCTGCCGTCCGTGGGTGAGACGTCGGAGATGGCTCGGGAGTTCATGGCTTCCATGACAGCTATGGACCTGACCCAGTTAATTCATGGCCCTACCCACACAGGGGGAAACACGCTGGATCTGGTTTTTGTCTCTGGACAGTGGTCGAGGGATCTTGAGATAGGGGATATAGTTACTGAACCCTTGTCATGGTCAGATCACTCTCTCCTTTGTCTCGACTTTCAAACCGCTGCACCCACCGCAGGGACGCGGAGCTGGTAAGATGGTTCCGCCCCAGGTGCCTGATGGAACCTGACAGATTCCAGACGGAGCTTGGGCCATTTCCTGAGGTTCTGGCACACGCCTCGACTGGAGATCTGGTGGCCGCCTGGGAGAGGGCGGCTGCTGGAGCTCTGGATCAGGTCGTGCCTTTGTGGCCTCTGACCTGGCGCCGATCTCAATTGGCTCCTTGGTTTACCGAGGAGCTGAGGGAGTTGAAGCGCCGGAAAAGACTCCTAGAGAGTAGTTGGAGGGCCAGTCTTTCTGAATCTGACTGGACACTAGTAAGATCCCACATTAGGAATTACTTAGTGGCGATAAAAGCAGCGAAATGTAGCTATTTTGCTGCTCTTATTGTGTCATCAGATAATCACCCGGCCGCCCTCTTTAGGGTGACCCGCTCCCTGCTCCATCAGGAATCGCGGGAGGACCCCTTGGAGGGTAGAGCCGAGGATTTTGTTCAGTATCTGTATGACAAAATCACTCAGATTCGGGAAGATTTGGACTCCGACTGGGTAGTCTCAGGGGGAGAGACAGGGGCAGGTCTTGAGAATGTTATCTGGGATGAGTTTGATCCTGTGACCCCTGAGGACGTGGACAGGATTCTGGGTAGACTGAACGTGACCACTTGTTTATTGGACCCGTGTCCTTCCTGGTTAGTACTGGCTTCCCGGGAAGTGACACGAGGCTGGCTCCAGGGGATTATAAACACTTCGCTGGGTGAGGGTGACTTTCCCGCCACCTTGAAAGAGGCGGTGGTGAGGCCTCTCCTCAAGAAGCCTTCCCTGGACCCGGCAATGTTGGTAAATTATCGTCCGGTCTCCAACCTTCGCTTCGTGGCGAAGGTTGTTGAGAGTGTGGTCGCGCAGCAGCTCCCCCAGCACCTGGATGAAACGACGTATCTGGATCCGTTCCAGTCAGGCTTCAGGCCTGGGTACAGCACGGAAACGGCATTGGTTGCGTTGGTTGATGATCTCTGGAGGGCTCGGGACAGTGGTTGCTTCTCTGTCCTGGTCCTGTTAGATCTCTCAGCGGCTTTTGATACCATCGACCATGGTATCGTGCTGCACCGGTTGGAAGAGTTAGGGGTGGGAGGCACTGTGTTGCGGTGGTTCTCCTCCTTTCTCTCTGACCCTCATATGCGGGGTGCCGAAAGGGTTGGTCCTCTCGCCTCTCCTGTTCAACATTTATGTGAAGCCGCTGGGCGAGATCATCCGTGGTTTCGGGGTGGAGTACCATCAGTACATTGACGACATCCAGCTGTACATCTCCACCCCGGATCACCCCAACGATGCCCTTGAAGTGATGTCCCAGTGCCTGGAGGCCGTACGGATCTCGATGGGGAGGAACAGGCTCAGGCTCAACCCATCCAAGACCAAGTGGCTGTGGTTTCCGACATCCCGATATAGTCAGTTGACGCCATCACTGACTATTGGGGGCGAATCATTGGCCCCCACGGAGAGGGCTCGCATCTTGGGCGTCCTCCTGGATTCACGGCTGTCTTTAGAGCCGTGGGGGAGGATTTTTCATCAGGTTCGCCTGATTCGCCAGTTGCGTCCCTTTCTGGATCGGGACTTGTTACGCATGATCACTCATGCCCTTGTCACCTCCCGCCTGGACTATTGCAATGCTCTCTACATGGGGCTCCCCTTGAGGAGCACCCGGAGGCTCCAACTGGTGCAGAGTGTGGCCGCGCGGGTGGTAATGGGAGCGACATGGCGTTCCCATGTAACACCCCTCCTACGCGAGCTGCACTGGCTCCCGGTGGTCTTCCGGGTGCGCTTCAAGGTTTTGGTTACCACCTTTAAAGCGCTCCATGGCTTAGGACCTGGGTACTTGCGGGACCGCCTACTACCACCAATAGCCTCCCACCGGCCGGTACGCTCCCATAGAGAGGGGCTCCTCCGGGTGCCGTCAGCCAAACAATGCCGACTGGCGGCCCCCTGGGGGAGAGCCTTCTTTGTGGGGGCACCTACTATCTGGAACGAGCTCCCCCCAGAGATACGGAGGATCCCGGATCTGCACACCTTCCGCAGCGCTTTAAAGACCTTACTATTTCACCAGGCGGGCCTGGCCTAATTTTCTCCCTCTTTTATAAAAGATTTTTAATTTTTAAATATCTTTTAGTATTTAAACATTCAATTTTAAATTGATTTTAAAAGTTTGGGGTTTTAAATTTGTCGCGGCCAAAATTATTTAATTTGATTTTATTCTACTTTTAAATTTTGTATGTATGTGTTTTATTGTTTGGCTGTGCACCGCCCTGAGTCCTTCGGGAGTAGGGCGGTATAGAAATCAAATCAAATCAAATAATAAATAAATAAAATTATGAATATGTAATTCCTTTGTGTGTATTAAGCAGTGTATTAAGCAGCTGCCCTGTTTTGAAGGGTTAGGGTTAGGATGCACAGTATGTATAGGTGTTTCTAAAAAGTTTTAACTTTCAATAAAAGTAAAACGTTGTCTAGCAAGGTATACCTTTTTCTCTTGTTCCTGGATAGCATTAACCTGGCTTTAGTAAAAAAAATTTTACTGGCAATCTTAAGAATGGATTACAGCTATAAGAGTGGGACACCTTACCCTATTCAGTTATGGTTGTTGTTTTCCTTGGCAACTTGGAACTTGTTTGACATTCTATTCACCTGGAATTTTGAGTAAATCATTGCTGAGGCACCTTCTATTCTTTTTCTTTCTGAACTATTACCATATGTTCACGCTCGATTGGTTTGTATTGTTTTGTGCTTTGGGATTGCTTTTTTACAATGAAATGGATGATAAATTGTAAAAAAAAAAGGCATATTACTTTCCTGTCAGTTTCAGTTACATTTATTTGGAGTTTTTATGTAATGTAACAGGTTTATATAATATAATATATAATATATATATTATATAATAGTTTATAATTACATGTAAAAGTGGTAGTTTATATAAAAAATATTTGACTCACTTTTTCCCCTTGCAGTGCCTTAGCTGCAGGAGATGAAAGAAAGGGTTTTTTAAAAGCGCACAAATATAGGGATGACAGAGGACAGTTTAACCATTAAAAAAAAAAACATTTCCCCCGTTTTCTTGCTATTTAATTCTATAGTTGTCCCCGAACAGCTGCAATGAACTGCTACTCCCATAATTCCTGCGGCTAGGATTGATAGGAATTGTAATACAATCCTGCTTGCGGCGGGAGGTTTGCATTCCATCGACACAAATTTCATAGCAAGGATTTTACTTAACCAAGAAGAAACCCAGCACCGCAAACCAGTTTTATATTTCTGGAGAAAACGACGCCTATCATGGGATAGGGAGGAGCCGCGGCAGGTCACCGACTGGAGAACGTCTGGTTTGATTGGGGGATTTGCTGCCAATCGAAAACGGCAATTGGTGGCTTTGGATGTCACTCTTTCCCTCTGCCTCCTTCCGTGCTTTGCTACAGCCAGTGAAGCCAAGCGAAGGTGGTGGCGTCTTACTAGAGGTCGCGGAACGGAGGCGGGCAAGCAGCATGGCAGCAGCGTTAATGTTCCGAGCCTCCGTTAGTTTGCTGCACAGGCATGGGAAAATTTGTGCAGACTGGCTCGCTCGGGGTAAGGCAATTTGAGCTCGCGCCGCTGGGCGAGAGGGTGTAAATTGGTTCGCGGCGTCTTGTAGGAGAATCCAAAAGGTGCTCGGCCCTCCAGGAAGACAAATATGTTGCAGCTGTTAACCCTTTTCCTTGTCACCTCGCAGAAGTTGGGGTTCCTATCCCGTGGCCAAACTTATTAGCTGGGTCTTCCATATATAGATGCCCGCCTGGGCAAGAATTGGATGGCCGTAAGGCAAGGGGCATTCAGGAAATAGAGAGCGAGAGGATGTGCCTCTCCAAATCTGTCTGCTTTTAAATCTTCTCAAGTATGCCTTGGCACGCGCGGTGATGTTGAGTAATGCTTTCAGAGAACTCTAGTTTTGCACTTTTAAATCTTTGCATATCTATTTAACCCATGCCAATTTCAACATTTATACAGGTATCATACCTGGTTTTTTTGGGTGGTAAATGGCGATTTATCTAAAACATATGGAAGTCACAAAAGTTTGTGTAACATCTGTATCCTAAAGTAGCAGCTTAAAACTAGCTATGGTTTATGTTCATATTTGCTTTTCTCCATAATATTTTTTCTTTTTAAGAAGAAAAGGAGATTTTGCTTAATTGATGTGAGTCGAGATATTTTGCCTATTAAAAACCATTGCATGGGCTGAACTTATGCATGTTCATTGTTTGGGATAAAGTATCAGTTTATAGATTTTTGCAACATAAATTAGTTTGAAGTAGAATCTTACATATATTCACAAAATAATTATTACTACAATAATTTAATGGATCTTGCTCCAGGTGGTGAATTTGAAAGCAATTCCCTGGACTATATTTCTATATTTGTTCACTCAAAATCTGTCTCTCTCCATTTTTAGTGTTTAATAGAATATATTTCTAATGAATAAAGTCTTATAGTAGAATCCTATACTTGACCATTCAAAATTCCATTGAAGTATATTCTCAAAGTGAGATAAAGACTTCAGCTTTTGTCTTTCATCATTAAAGGGAGAATTATAATTCAATGTCCTATGTATGGCTGTCTTAAGTGGGTGACTATTGTAGTAGTAGCAGTATAAAACACTAAACAATACTGTCCATTCCTACATACCTATCTTGTTCTCACTGGACAATATAGTAACCAAACATTCTCTCTTTATGAAGAGAGTTTATATATTTATATTAATACTTTAAACTCTTAACTCTAACCGTTCTTTGATCATCAAAAGCTGTACATTAACCTCTTTAATAGTGGGGATGCTATTATTTTTTCAAAATCTGATGGCTATTAGTACTGTAGTCCAAATGATCTTTTAAGTCTTTTAAAACTAAAACAATTGACTTTATTTGGTTACAATAAAGTAAATTTGTTTTCCATAAAACTTTTTTAGAGTGAAAAATATGACTTTTATTCAAATGCCATCTGTGATATAAAATTACATGCTGTTTTGGGGGACATACATCATCTGCTTGCAAAAATGAAGAATGCAAAAAATAATTACATATTTTTGTAAGGATTATCTGGAAATTTACAGGAAACATTGCAAAACTGCTATATAAGCAAGTTTTCTCCCCCTCCCTTCTTTAATTTTCTAAATGCATCAGTGTATTTTTCAAGGTATTATATAGCATAGTTTAGTGCAGCCTTCAGCTGAGGAAAAAGAACTCTACACAATTATTAGATTACTTAAGGTAAATTCTAATATCTTATCTGCCTTAAGCTATTCATACCTTTTATAGCAATAGCACTTAGACGTATACACCAGCTAGCGCAATGGTTAGAATGTAGTATTGCAGCTAACTCTGCCTACTGTCAGGAGTTTGATCCTGACTGACTCAAGGTTGACTCAGCCTTCCGTCCTTCCGAGGATGGTAAAATGAGAACCCAGATAGTTGGTGAAAATATTCTGACTGTAAACGGCTTAGAGAGGACTGTAAAGTACTATAGCTATCTTTATATTACTACTTATTATATTACTATATTATCTACTATCTTTATATTAATAATAAGTTAATAAATTAATAAAAGATTAATAAAATTATTATGGCTCCATATATTGCAATCCAGATATAATTGTTCCCAGTAAGGACATCAGACTTTCCTCTGAGTAAAAAAAAAGATTTTAAGTGCTAAGAAAGTGCTAAGATTCTGGAAATATTGCTCTTTATTGCAACATTTTGTTTCAGAGTTCATTGGTCAGTAAATTCAGCTCTTTGCTGGGTACTTTGTTACTTTTTTCTATTGTTAAATAATCCTGTAATCATTAGTTTTGAGGGTACTCTATCAGACCCTCAAAATAATATATTATTTCCATATATAGCAATAAACTAATAAATAAGGCAAGCGAGGTCCAGGCAGAAGAAGAACATCATGGCTTCAAAACCTAAGGGACTGGTTTGGACAAAACTCAGCAGTACATTTTCATATGTCTGTTGACAAAAATAGGATTGCCAACATGATCGCCAACAACCAATGACAGATATGACACAAGAAGAAGAAGAAGCAATAAACTAATCATTTTTTTTGTTTGAAAACTATTGAAAATGCTATTCTTATTTATATCCCATTTTAATTATTTTCACAAATAACCCAAGGTGGCGAACATATCCAACCCTCCTCCCCGATATTTTCCCCACAATAATCCTGTGAGGTGAGGTGAGCTAAAACAGAATGATTGGCCCAAGGTCACCCAGTTGGCTTTCATGGCTAAGGTGAGAATTGAATTTACAGTGTCCCACTTTCTAGTCCTTAATATAGAATATTAAATATTCTATTTAATATATTTATTTATTCAATTTATATGTTATTCATCTATCCAAGTAACTCGGAACAACTGTAACTAACATGTTATTTCTTTAATGTTAATATAAGCCAATAAAGTAATTGGCTTAATACATAATTGTCATTAAGCATATTGACTTTTTGTTGTGCTAAGATTTTTTCTCTTTTGATAGAAAACAATTCATATTTATCTGTTTGTTTAAAAAGATGGTTCATCTTTTGAATCTGTCCCTACATTTTTTTTTTCCTTTTTACTGAGAAAGTTGTTGCATGTGTATTTTCTGTTATTAGAAATCCAGATCCTGGAAACTGCACACATAGTTTGAGACATTGCATACTACAGCTGCTGTTTAATAAACTCAAACCATCTGCTGGGTAAATTAGTACAAGTGTACCCACTCATGCAGACTGGTTTTTATTCTTACTGTGTATATGTTTCTGGGTTGGGACTTGACTACAGACCTAAAGGATCTATTCGATTTCTCCACTCTCCCTACCACTGTAAGATCTATCATTTGGACCCATTAAAAATAGTATCTTAGATACCAAACTTAGAAATAGCAAATGAACAGGGTGGTACCTCTAGCATGGCTTCACTCATGGTATTTATTTTAATGTCAGAACTGAACGAACAATCTTTTATCCTCGAAGAACTCTGAGTTTACATAAAGAATTTTTCATTTCAGTGGCCTAATTTATCATGATGAAACTTTTTTATTTGCATTACTTATGGCATTAACAATCCTATGTGGAAAGCAGATATATCTATGTTGACAAAAAGCTTAAAATCATAGTTTCTATAAAAACATCAGATGCAACCAATTTGTTGAGGAATATTTCATAAATGCTCTGTCACCATGTGTACAGTATTTTTATTTAGATTAGCTGCTGAGCAGGAATAGCAAAGTAAACTTTTCAGTAAACTTTATTGATTCTGGTTCCTAGCATTATTCATCTTTTAAAAATATTTATGTTTGCCAGAAAAAAACAGCAGTGAAAACTGTCCAAACTCTCTGGTATCCATATAAAAAAGCATATTGTTGTTGCACAACAGGACAAAATTTACTCCTTTTTCATATACAGTATTAGGATGGATCTTTTTTACAGGTAGTTCTTGACTTACACATTGCTAAGCAGAGTGGTTGTTAAGTGAATCCCACCCGATGTTACTACCTTTTTTGCCATGGTTATGAAGTGATTGCTAAGAGAACCTGGCTTCCATCATTGGCTTTGATTGTTGAAAGCTGGCTGGGAAGTTCACAAATGGCAATCACATGACGCTGGGATGCTAAAACTGTAATAAATACATTATTTATCTGAATCACAATCATGTGACCATGGGGATGCTACTGTGGCCATAAGTGTGAGACTGGTTGCAAATTATTTTTTTCAACTATTTTATACAGCATGAATGAATAAAAGAAAAAGAAATAGATACATTGTACGGTAAGGATGAAAGTAGTATGATCCCTGTAGTCCAGATGTGTGTGTGTGTGTGTGTGTGTATATATATATGTTTTTTTTCTAGCCAGGTTTTCCCTACGTAGACAAGGGTTGTTGTTTTTTTTTGTAGCTCCAGCTCAGTAGAATCACATCTACTCGGTTCTGGGCTTTTTTCCTTTCTAACACCTAGCAAGCTCTAACTGCTAGGTGGGAGACCTAAATAGATCCATTTCTAGCTCGTTAGCTGTCATCAGTAGGCCACACCCATATCTTATGTATCCTCCCTGTAAAGGTACAGTATCAATTTTCTTACTTCTTCGTACTGTGCTGGAGCTACTATATAAAAGCAAAAAATTAAAACCTTGGCTACGTAGGGAAAACCTGGCTAGAAGAAAAACACACATAAACCCTACGAAGAAGTAAGAAAATTTCAAATTTATATACCGCTCTTCTCCCGAAGGACGCAGGGCGGTGAACAGCCAACGATAAAAATACATAGAATACAAAATTTAAAAATAGTTTAAAACAAATTAAATAGTATTGGCCCACGACAATTAAAAACACCCCCAATTTAAAATCAAATTAAGAACTAAATTACTCAATTAAAAGAGTTAGGCCAGCCTAGTTTGTTGGAATAGGAAGATCTTGAGGGCACGGTGAAAGGTGCATAGATCTGGAATCCTCCTTATCTCCGGGAGCAATTCGTTCCATAGGGCAGGTACCCCCACAGAGAAAGCTCTCCCCCTGGGGGCTGCCAGCCGACACTGTTTGACCGACAGCACCCCGAGGAGCCC